CTGATTTCAGCTAACGTTTGCGGTTGCGAACGATTGCGGGAGAATAAAAAAAAATTTCTTCCAAAAAATTATATAAATATAAAAACGAAATATTTAATTAAAATTTGAAATTAAAATAATTAAAATACTGAAATATTTATATTATAAAATTTCCAAAAAAAAAATATTTTTCTTAATTTTAAAAAAATTACATAGTGCATTTTTCAATAAATTTTTTATATTTATCATGAAAAATATGATTTTAATATTTTGATAATTATATAAAATATAAATATTGTTAATTTATTACTTAACCGTTGTTGTATTTGATGATAAATCAGTCATAAGTATCCCGCAAACGCAACAATTTTTAACCGTTGAACCAGTCGTATAAATCTTTTACTAACGCTTAAAATCGCAATCTCCCGCATCCGCAAACGCCCGCAACCGCAATCGTTGCGCTGTAACCAGTCAGGCCCTTAGTTGAAATCAAAATTCCGTTAGACTTAATATAGATGAGAATTTAAAAGTTTTAATTTAATTTACAATTTAAGATACATGATTCATCTAAAAAAATTTCGATCCTTCTCAAAGTATTTATAAAATCAATATGATATCTTTTTTTCTATAACATAATTGAACTCTATTTGAAAAGATTATAACTTAAAATTAAAAATAATTATAGTAATGTAAACTGAAAATATGCATCACTACACAATGAAAATAGTTTTTTTTATATATAATTGAATTGACTAATCTGATACAAGAAAAATTTGTGTTTGATAAAAACTATTTTTTCTTTGGAGAAATCTAGGTCTAATCAAAGAACAAATATTTTTATATAGGATTTCTATTGTATGCTCATATGACTAGTTCACATCACGATTATCATAGTTGATGTTTAGTTAATTTGTTATGAGTTCTTTTTTTTTTGTCCAAGTTAGCTACATTAGATTTTATTTAGTAGATAATTTTGGTTTATAAAATCTAAAGGTAAAAGGTCAGATTTTGATTGAACTATTTTACACAGAAAATTGAATTCAAATCCATTCAAAATATTTCAATTCAAACGGATTGTCAAATTATATTAAACATGAATAACACAAGATTTGAAATATTGTAGTCAAATCTTTAATTGAATAACACTTGATTTTCAATTTTTTTAATGAAAAGATTAAAAATCCAAGAACTGATAACATTAGAGTTTAAATTCTATTAGGGTAAATTCCATAAAATATCCCAACTAAATTTTGTTAGGTTTTTTAATAGAATTTTTTTCGATACCCAGTTCAATATCCCAACTAATTTTTTACCAATTTTAATACACAAACTTTTATAATTGTGTCCATTTTAATAACAAACTTTGTTTATTTTAATAAAAATAATAATAAGTTCCAAATGAAATTTTAAAAAATCTCTAAATTTTAAAGAAAATTATAATTTTATTTTGTGTTTGGAAAATAAAAGTAAATAACTTTTTTATAATCTTAGATTTTGTAATAGTTGTTTTAAATTTAAATATTGAATTTATTTTGTTTTCTGAAATAAAAAATAAATTAAATTCCTTCAAAATTAATTTTTAAAACTTTTAATTTTTTCAGAGTTTATTTACCTTCTTTCTTTAATTTTCAAGTAAAATTAGAAAAAATTTTTAAAAAAAATTAGATTTGGAATTTTTTAAAAATTGTCTTGTAACTTATTAGTATGCTAATTAAAATAAACAAAATTTGGGTATTAAAAGAAGTATGATTTTAAAAGTTTTTGTATTAAAATGGACAGAATAATTAGTTGAGGTATTAAACTCATTAGCGAAAAATATGGGTATTAAAATGCTTAATGAAATTAAGTTAGGATATTCTTATGAAATTTTTCCATTATATTAATATAAATATTTTAAATACAGTCACCAGTAACACTAGATTTTAATATTAGATTAAAATCAATCTCGGAATAATAATAGATCGTAAAATTTAGATAATTAACTTTAAATCTGCTATCCAATAACATCGCCTAAGTAGATAAGTTTTGGTTTATAAAATCTGAAGGTGAAAGGTCAGATTTTGATTGAACTATATATTTTACACATAAAATTGAATTCAAATCCATTCGAAATATTTCAAGTCAAATGGATTGTAAAATCTTATTAAACATGAATAACACAAGATTTGAAATATTGTAGTCAAATCTTTAATTGAATAACACTTGCTTTTAAATTCTTTTAATAAAAAAAATAAAATCCAAGAATCAATAACACTAGAGTTTAAATTTTATTAATATAAATATTTTAAATACAGTCACCAATCACACTAGATTTTAATATTAGATTTAAAATCAATCTTTGAATAACATCAGATTGTAAAATTTAGACAATTAACTGTAAGCCACTATCCAATAACATCAAGTGTAATTAATGACTATTTTGACAATTAAAGTAGCAATACAATTGAATTCGCCTCTGCATCCAAATAATGTAGTCTTGATTAGTTAGTATAACACTGTTTTAAAACGCACTAGATTTTTGATCCGCGCTTAAAAAGTGCGGATACCATTTATGTTGTTTTATCTATAGATGGATCAATAATTTTTGTTTTTGTTTTGATGATATAAAATGTTCTTATCTAATATAATTTTCTAAAACTATTGTAGATTTTAATTTATTATTATCATTAGTATCTATGTAAATGTATTATATGTAATTGTGTACTTTATTTTGGAAAAATAATATCAATTAACTATACTTGGTGCTGAGAAACAAGTCAAACTCGCCCTGCCCGACCCGCCTGACCCACAAAGAAAATAAATTTTCTCTGTATCCGCCTCACTTAATTTTTTGGATAATCCACGGGACCTGCGGATAATTAGTAATAATAAAAATAATTATTTTTTATTTTTTTCTAAAAAATAATATAAATAGTAGATTTTTAATTAAATTTTTATTTTTTAAAATAAATAATTATTTTAAGGAAATTTAGTATATTTTTGAAAAAAAAAATTCTATTTTTGCAGATTACCGTATATCCACAATTGAAATTATAACAATCCGCATCCGTCCTGTGTAAAATATATTTGACCTGCACCCGCACCCGCAACTTAGTTTTTTCAAATATCGATTCACATGTCCGTGGTGGGTCGAATGGGGCAGGACCAGTGGACTACTAATTGGAAGGTGAATTTGGCTCATTAATAAAACCCATTAGTATATAGTTTTTAGACCCATAGTAAAAAGACCAAATTGTCATTAATAAAAAAATAAATTTGTTAATAATATTAAGAATATTTTTAGAAAAAATAAAAATCTCATTAAAGAGAGTAATTATGTTTTAATGATATTGATTAGTCGCTCATTATGCTTGAATTTTTATAGTCTAGTAGTGTAAGCTGACACATAAGGACCTATACGGATATATGTTTTACATAGAATATAAATATAAAATCAATATATATATATATAAAAATAAAATTTTGATGTAATCTCAACATTATTAATGTATAGAGGTTTCACTGTATATATACAATTTTTTAGAAAATGAGCATAAAATATTCTTAAAATTTCGCTACTCAAAGTATGGTTTCTCATGATGGCCATGTAAGCTTACTTAAATTCTCATTTTGAAAAATTTGAATTTCATCTACAAGCATTAAAACACATTAACTGGTTTTGGTAGGCGATAAGCCAATCAACTATAATATTGACCAGCTTAAATGTTTATACGTAAAAGGATTTAGGAAACGTTTGCCGTGAGTCAGAACGATTCTATTTTGAACGATCGTAATTTTGTCAAGTAATGGTCAATGGGTAGCGCCGGCCTGAAATTTTGGGACTAAGATGATATTTTAACGATTTCAACTAAATATTTTTTTGTCGGATTTGGAAGTCTAAAATCTTTTTTCGAGGTCCTATATACATGTAACTTTTTCTAAAAAATTTGAGGGTCCAAGAGAAATGTTTCATCCGGCTTGGTACTTTGGCAGGATGTAATTTTGTGATCCATACGTTATTAGCTTAATTAAAATATTTAATGAATAAAAAAATATGGTTTTATCTTGATTGAGAAATAAAAAAAATCTTTGATGAAACACTAAAAGTCAATGGTTAACTTATATAGTAATAAGAGTTGACTTTGACCATCATAAACTAACCATTTATGGACAGATATTTTTTTTCTTCTTGCCACTAAACATTTTAAGAACCTGCACTGTCTGGTCAAAGGAAAAGCTATTCTGATAATAGTTACTGTTTTTATTGTCTGTAATTAAGAAAGAAAGAAAAAACGTTTTTCAAATCTGAGTAATTAAATTAGAAGAAAATATTTTCTCTCCTAAAAGATAGAGTGACTAAATCTACATTTCCTTAAAATGACTTTATAGAGAATCTTTTTATAATGTGACAGGTGATTTGAAAATATATATATAGCCAAATGAGAAACCTGTCTGAGCCAGTCTATTCTCTTTCTCCATTGATAGAGAAGAAAAAAAACAGAGTATCTTTCTCTCCTTCCCTCCTAAAGATCTTGGACAGAAGCGCATGACATAAACTGAAACAAAAAAGACAAGATTTACAGCTGTTGAGAATCCATAACTCCCTAATATCTTGCTGTACAAGTTATCTATATTTGCAAGATGTTAAGGAATGCTGTGGAGTGCAGTTAATGCGAACGAGTCGTAACGGCGGAGTAGGAACGATTTAGGTTACTATTATTAGATAATCCAGGATCCAAGATCCGTTACCCAATTAAATTTTCATTTTCTTTTTTTTTTGCAGTAATCATATCTTCTCTTCAGACAAAACCCTAAAGATATTCTGAAGAAAACTGTTTGAAACTCATTTGATTTCTAAGGTAAAATTCCGACAACTTTCTCCTTCACAACCTTAAAGGTCAAACACTGTCCTAAATCTTTCTCCTCGAATCTTCTTCAGATCTTTGTCTCGATCTCAGTTTCAGTTTCATTATCATTGTTAAGATTCTTACCGTGATTTTCCTCTGTTCTTGTCTTTAAGAACAAGAAAACAAATAAAAAAAATGGGTGCGCAGATTATACTCTGTGATGGTTTTGAGGTGGTGTCTCCACCGGATATGAGCGACTTGATCCTCTTCGGAAGCGAGCAATCTAGTGGCTCAAACTGCGGTGAATCAACGGTCACCACCGAAGAAGACGGCACTGTTTTCTCCGGAGATAGTTCACCGGGTGATGCGGCTGAAGAGGAATGGCCTGAAGCTAAGCCTTTCTCCTTCTACTTCGTTAAGAGACCAGCTTATGATGATCCTGAGATCAAAGCCAAGATTAATGAAGCTGATTCAGAGATTTATCAGTGTAATAAACGCCGGATTGATATCTCAAATGCTCAGAAATCCCAAAGGGTAAAAGCCTTTTGGTTCTATCCTTTCTTAGATGTCCTAATCGTGTTGCTTGATGTTTACGTTACCATTTTCTTTATTTTGTTAGGCTGAGATGTCGTCTTTGTATGCACAAATGGAGAGTTTGGGACCTAAATCAGAAGGATATAAAATGGTTTTTGAAGAGAAGAGAAAGGAGTTTGATACTCTGCATGAAGCTCTACGGAATCAACGGTGCTCTAGCAGTGGTCAGCTTAGCTTTTCAAAGGAGGAACTCGATCATCTTGTAATTCTTTAAACCTTTCCTTGTGTAACAAGAAAAAGGGTTTTTGTTTTGCTGATTGTAGACATGGTTCATGGTGGTTGATGCAGATTTACATAGCACATTACGTTATTGAACATGGAACCATTGGTTTGGAGGAAGAACATTGGGTGCTTAAAGAGACAGAGAAGTCTAATGCGATAGTATTAAGTGAGGAATCTCTTGCGCAGAAAGAAGCTTCCATACACCGTCTCAAGGTAAAGCTCTCTAATGATTCAAGATGTTTTACCAAGCATTGTATTGAATCTAATGATTTGAGGGTTTGTTTTTGGTCTCATCAGCTAATGGCTGTGGAAATGAACGAAGTAAAGAAGGAGCTTGAAGCCATTACATGGAACATTAACTGCTTGAGTGACAAACTAGGACAGATTCAGAACAAGATTTGGGGTTTGGATTTAGAAATGGCACACATACTTGAGCTGAGAGACAAAGCATATGAAAGGATTAAGATGCTGAGGATACAACGAGATAAAGGAGTAAGATCTTTTGTCTCTCTTTTAGTTTTGCTTTATAGATGCTGATCTCAAGGATCTAATTAACATTATGTTATCTGTTTGTTAGAATGCTGCGTTTTTCCAGAGCCTTGCTGTTATGAGGAAAGCTAAAGAACTGGCTGCTTCTGGAAACGTTAGAGATCTTGAAGTGTTCTCTAGCTCTGAGGTTTTTTTTGTTTGTTTTTGTCTATTCACATTCTTGATTCATTTAAGCATCTGTTCTTGATTTTGTTCTTTTTTGTATAGGTTGATAGATTCATGACTAGTTGGAACAATGACAAGGCTTATAGAGATGATTACGTGAAAAGAATCTCTCTTTCACTCTATGAAAGACATCTGAGCATAGATGGACGGATTAGAGATCAAGAAGGTGAAACACATGTTGTTCAAGAAAAGCAAGCCCTTGTGAAGACTACAAAGGAAGGTATGGTGGTGATTCACAAGAGGAATAGAGAAGAGTCCAGCTCCAACTCGTCTCAGGATGCAAATGTAATCACAGATAAACAAAAGAAAGAAGTGAAGAAAAAGGTGATAATAGACTTCAACAGATCAAGTGATGAGGAGAGTGTAGTTACAGATTTGGAGTTCCCTGTGTATGAGAATCCGAAAAAAGAAGAAGAAGTGGTTGATGAAGAGACTTTAAAGGAGAGGAAACGAGAAGAGGAGCTAGAGAAAGCTCGGTTAGCTATGGAAAGGAAGAAGAAGCTACAAGAGAAAGCTGCTGCTAAAGCTGCTTTAAGAGCTCAAAAAGAAGCTGAAAAGAAACTCAAGGCAAATTACACATCATTGTCACCAACTCTTCCTATTAACTGTTCTGTTTCTTAACTCTTTTCTTTTGTTTTCAGGAGTGTGAGAAGAAAGCTAAGAAGAAAGCTGCATTAATCTCTTCTGAACTAGACCAATCACAAGAAGTAACCAATGAGCTGACGAAGGTTAAGACTTCAGCAGTTTCAGGGAAAGAGAAACATAGGTCATTGTTTCCAAAGGAGAAAAGGTGTATGTACAAACACCGTGGGAGAGGAACAGAAGCTCTCCCTAAAGCCATCCTAAACCGTAGAAGAGCACATCAATATTGGGTTTGGGGAGTTTCATCTGCTGCACTTGCTCTAGCTCTCTCCCTTGGAGTTTTACTTTTACGGTGAATTGAAGAAGGAAAGGACAAACTAAAAGGGTATATTGACTTTACCTGATTGGATGGAGGAGCTGTTTCTAGACTTTCAAAGTTAGCTTATAGTGTCATACCCTTTAGATGTTAGTTGATATGTTTCTTTTAATGTTGTCTGAAAAAAAACAAGAAACATCCACTATACAGAGGACATTGTGGATTGAAAATCTACTTTATAGTTAAAAGGATCAAGTAGACTTGACTAATTACATCTCCTGAGAAATTATATATAAAATCAGCAAAACTCAATTTCTCTGTCTCGTTACGTGTGTCAGAAAAGTTAAATCTAGCTCTTGCATAATGGTATAACAACTAGTTTGAGAAGTTTCAGGAGATTATCATGATCATCTGCTTTTACAGTTTTACTCTGTCTTTCTTCATATCTGCATCAGATAGTTTCGACTCTTTAGTTATGTCTATGGATGTTATATACGGTTTTGAAGTACTTAGTGATCCGTAGAAAGAATCTAACTCTTTTCCTGTGAGAAAAGTAACTATGTTAAAAACCTACGTGCTTATTGTAATTTGGCAGAATCTAACTGTTTAATGATTATGACAAGAAAGCGTTACTAAAAAAAAGACAAATATTGGTCAAACCTATGTTTATCTAGACAGACTACATAGCCAATACCACCAAACTACGCAAATTTCGTTGGCTATTTCTACATTAGCAAACATTTATATATGATTTTATGTTTAATTTAAAACAAAACATCAAAATTAATCCCCGATTATTTTCATAAGTCACTAACCCAACCCGAGCATAAGCCAAACGCCTAGCAAATTTTCAAACATTTACTAGTAAACATGTCATACATTGTCCACGTGTGGCTGGCCCCGTCCTCCCATTTTCCACTTACTTCCGTAAGGTTTGGATCTTCATTATCAGTTCAGAATCTTGAGATAATGTCGGAAAGCAATAGATTAAGTAAAATCAAGTAAACAAAAATAATTACAAGAAAAGTAACTATGTCAGTTAGGTTATTGGTGAAGAGACTCGCGACGGTAAATATTTCAAAGACTCATGGCGGAGATGTCCCCGGTTATGTCCTTCGACAAGCTACCACCCGGTTCGACCGCTTCTTCACTGCATTTAGGCTAACATAAGTATATCCGTGAATTATATCACTTTTAGGTAACTCAGATGATTAGATTTTTTATGATGTTCATAGTTACAAAAAAAAAACATTAATAGTTATATATTTCCTCTAAAATATTTCATATAATAATGTATCAATCTTTTGTTGCTATAACTATAAATGGTATACCCGGTCATTATGAGCAAGGTTTAGACATTGCACAGAACTATAGGCCCACAACGATTTACGTATCAGACTAGGCAAAGAAAGGGGTGAAGAAAGCAGCAGATGTAGCGTTGAACACTGAATATAACATGAAGGAACTGTTGCTATATTTGATTTCAATTTGCGTTTTCTTAGCTAAAATGAAAAAAACAATGAATTAGGCTATGAAACTAAAAATCGTTTGAAGTTAGAACATACTTTTGTTTGTAGATATCTTCAAAAAACTGCATGTATACAAATTTACTCCTCTCTATATATATGTCAAAAAGAGTTTACTAAGCTGGGTATTGAATCAAGTTCAATTGAGTTTAAAAGAATTGAAGTTTTCTTTGATTTTAGTGTTATATAGTGCTATCTAATTATGTATTTCGTCTAAAATTAATGTTTGTATTACTAGATTAAATACTTGTAACTATTTATTTTATAATATATTTAGAAATTTAGTGTTATTTAATCTAAATTTATTAAATAATTGTGTTTTCAATTTTTATGGATTTAATGTAATGGTTTTTTGAAATCACAATGAAAAGATCATATACAAATATACAGAATTGATTATGTGCCATTAGATTGAGATTTGAAGACAATGTTTTATATGATAAATGTAAAATTATTGACCAATGATACAATAGATTCCGAAATAATTTCATTATAGATTTAGAAAGTACATCTCTGAATGATAAAAATATATCATTTGTATTAATTCAATTGTAGATGGAACTTTTAGATTATTCTCCTTTCAAATGTACTTATAAATGATTTTTTATGGTTTCATGTGACTTTATAAGAGATGGTATATTTAGAGCTGTAAATTAAATGAAGGTTGGTTGAGGTAGCAGGATCCAAAGCCACTGGCGGAGTAACTTTAGGTGTTGGAGTTGGTGTTGGAGTTGATGTTGATGTTGATGTTGATGTAGGTGATTATCGTTGCGTATGTCCGAAGGTCACCAAAGTTTGAGAAGTTAATCTCCCATATACCGCCAAGATTACATTGCACTAATTATGTATTTATTATGACACTCAAAGGGGTGAAACTATAAACCAATATCATCACCCAGTAGTTAATCTTTTTGAATATTTTAATAATCAAAAACTTAAATATGCGCAAATATCAACAGTCTGTAAATGTCTGTTGAATTAACATTTTTATACAAAACGGAGATGGGGAGCAACATGACATCCAAGCATTATTAACTTATCATATTCTACCTTTTTGACTTTGTTCTCCACAAGAGATTTCAGAAGTATCACTTCTCGCTTGTACACAATAGCTTACAAAACTAAAGCAAAATCGTCTAGTGCACCTATACACTTTTGATAAAAACAATATAATATCTAGGCATACCAAAAATTTAAGATGGATAGAATTAAACAGTAGCATACAAAACTAAAGAAAAATCGTCTAGTGCACTTATAAACTTTTGATAAAAAAAATATAATTTCTAGGCATACCAAAAATTGAAGATGGATAGAATTAAAGGAGATGTGGGAAGAAAGAGGCAAAGTTCATTTTGTAAACAATTGCAGCTTTGTAAATCAATTTACACGAAACCCTCAAGTCATAGATGATACTATGATAGATTCAAGATATAAGTACACTATGGCATGTGAAACCATTTATGTAATGTGTTTTTCACTACCCACAACTTGTAACAATATCTCTTTCATACACTTCTGTAAGGTATAATTAATAAAAAGTTATAATGTTTGACAAAAAACAAGTTTACAATAAAAAGAAAACGAAGAAAGCTTCAACTGTTTACTTTTATCCCTACATTTAACAGAATAGGAAAAAGAGTAGAAGATTAAAAAAAAAAGTGGTGACTACTTCACATTACAAAGGAAAGTCTAGGGCTGGGCAATCGGGGTCCCAATCGGGTTTCGGTTCGGGTTCATTCGGGTTTCGGGTTTTCGGGTTCATGAATTTCAGCCCCATTCGGATATTATAAAAATCCGGGTCGGATTCGGTTCGGGTTTAGTCGGGTTCGGTTCGGATTTTAGTAACATGTCCAAGATCCAGTTGAACCCGAAATAGTTTCGGTTTCGGATACTAATCGGGTTATCGGTTCTAAAAATACTAATTTATACTCAACTAAACTCACTATATTTTCAATCATTTTATTAAATTTGTGTATTTAGCTTCTACAAACCATATTGTTCTCCTTCAAAATAATATTGTGAAACTCATCTATCAACCATATAAGATTTGTTAATGAACTATATGTGACAACACTAAACATATCATGATTAATGACAAACCAAAGCCTTGTATGAACGAATAATAATACATAATGAAACATAAAAGATTAAAGTTAACAACTAACAATTCTATAAACATAAGAAGTGCTATTTAAACTTTTTAAAACAACATTATATAAACTTCAAAACAAATTTATTCGTAACTTAACTTCAAATGTAATGTCAATCATAAACATTAATATTAACCAAATAACACTATATATTAGACTAAATATTTGAGTTAATTATTTATATCATAACTAATTATTGTAGGTATTCAGTAATATATTAATCTGTTTTGGAAACATATTAGAAATTTAGATTGGATATGATACAAGTTTTTTTTGGAATTTTAAAGTTTCGGATTCTTTCGGATATCCATTTAAGTTCGGGTTCGGTTCGGGTAATACCCATAACCCGAAATACCGTAAAACAAGATCCATTCGGTATTTATGTCGGGTTCGGATCGGTTCGGGTTCTTTTTTATCGGGTCGGATTGGGTTCGGATTTTTGGGTTCGGTTTTTTTTGCCCAGCCCTAGGAAAGTCCAATGCAGCGTTTCATGTTGTGATTCTTTAGATTCTCCAAACTCAAATACTCTTTACTTGTTTCAGTGCCAGTAAGACTTATGAACAAAGGAATCTGCAAAGGTCTCTCTTCTTCCCTCCTATCAAAGCAAAAAAAAAAAAAAAAAAAACAAGTTTAAACTTTAAAGACAAGTAAGGATTTTGTCATTTTATGTTGATACTATTATGTGAAGAAAATCTCTTTTGAGCAGCTAAACTCTGAACCTAAACATCACAGCATCTATATCAAGTGTCGTTTGCATTGACCTTCTATGTAGAGTGACCTCAATTGTTTAATTTTCATCTTTTAATCTGTGATTTTGCACTCCCACATAATAGAATCTTTATAGGTAAAATAACAATGACTAACACCGGAGAGAAAGAAAAATGGTACAAGCATCAACTAAGAGTTCATATGCAATGGTCCAAAACAGATCATTATTCAAGCTTATTCATGCTGCCTAAATCAAGACCACAGACAAGGCAAAGCTAAAACCAAATACAAACCAGCATGTGATCAAAGAAGACAAGATATAAGTTTGAATTGAGCATAACCAGTTCCTCTAATCCTAATATTCCTAAATGCCTTGTCTAGATGGGTTCAAACAGTTGATGATCATTAGGCTCTTTGCCTGCTTCTAAAGATAAACAAATGTTACATTAGAGAACCATGCGTAAACTATGATCTTCACTTCTTCTATGTAATATATGTTGTACAGTTTCAGTAAGGATCCTCCTTAATTACATTAACGGACATCAATATTATCTTAGAAACAAAAGTGTCCCCAGATTTAACGATCAGACCATGATAGCTTGTACCAACTATTCATTGAATCAGAACAAGCCAAGCCCATTGAAGGCCTAAGCAAATAGAAATAAGATGTTGGGGGGAGAGGAAGTAAGCATATCACATGATCAAGTACTTATTCCACCAGAGAAGCATACAAGGACACACTGGTCCATCTCCAGACTTTTCTTCCCATCTTTTAACACTTTAAACACACATTCATTCCAAACCCCAAACCGTCCATTAACATTGCTTAGTCTTAACCATACCTAATTTCCACCACCATCTTCTCAAGAATACAACTCAAAAGCTTTACCAGAAAGGGAGGGTCAGAGATCACAGCTCTGAGAATTCACTTTATAGTTACCGTCAAGAGACTTGACTGATTACAGATTACATCTCCTGAGAGTTCCAAATAATATCAACAAACCTTTATTATTTTGTCTCCTTACAACTGCTAGAAAAGATTAATAGAATAACAACTAGTTCGAGATATTTTAGGAAATTCTCAAATGCTCCTCTGATTTTACTCTTAGTCTCCCTTCATCTCTCCATACAATAGTTTTAGAATGTTTGGTTATGACATTGTGTCTGAACAAGTTACTCTTGTTCTAGTAAACATGTTGTATATTGTCCACGTGTTCCGCTGACTTAAGGTTTGGATCTTCGCTTAAATACTTCATCAACAGTTGAGATAATGTCGGAAAGCATATCCTGTAGCTACAGTCTTTTGCTAATATACAACTTCTTTATCGATTTCTACCCAATTGACTCAAAAAAAACAATGAGTCAAGCTAAGTAACAAACGGTTTGAAATTTGAACATTTTTTTTAGATATCCTCAGACACTGCATGTATGTATACAATCGTAATCTCCTCTATATATGCTTTCATTAAAGGATAATTAATAGAAACATAAAGTGGATGCATGCCCTATTTTGTCAAAAAGGAGAAGAAAATACATGTAGAAGTACTGAATCCATTCTTAAATTCTTGTGTTATTTAATTGTGTATTCATCAAATTTTTAAATGTTTGTGTCATTAAATTAAATATTTTTAATCATTTTATAAAATATTTTAAATATTAGTGTTATTCAAAATAAATAGTTTTTGTAAATTTTGGTATGTTTTTGGTAATGATGTCTAAAAATGCAAAAAAATGAGTTGGAACTCATTTTATATTTTCAAACTGGAATTGGAAGATAACTTTTTATATTGTTAATCTATCAAATATGTGAATTTCATTATAAATCTTAATTATATATTATTATTATCATGAATGACAAAAAAGTATAATTATCGTTAATCCAAATTGCGGATAAAACCTTTTAAATTATTTTATACCAAAATTACTAATACATGACTTTATGTGGTTTTATAAGTGGTGATCTAAAGGGAGGAGCTTGTGCTGCTGGTGGAGCTAGCGGAATTAGTGGAGCTGGTAGAGCTAGAAGAGTTGGCTGTCTGAGTTGATTGAACCAAATTCTAACAGACGAGCCACATACAAGGCAAATGTAGAACACATGGTCACACGTGGAGAAATCGGTAAGTGACTAAATATGTTTACTCCTACTAGTGATGAGTGAAAACTCACTCTACAAAAACAAATGGATAATTTATAAGAAAATGAATATACAAATAAAAATCATGTGAGAATTGGATGCAGTGACGTTGATGAAGAGATAATATCATGTAAATTTGGTTCATGAATTTCAAAGTAAATTGAAACCTCTTAAATTGAAGGATTCATAATTCTTCTACAACCAAATACTAGGCAATAGAATCTGCTGCTTTTGGCAATTACTCAAGTCTAGGTTTCAATTGTCACATTAACAATTGCAATCACTAAGATTTTTACAAAGGCATGACAATTTTTTATTTTGTACTAGGGGCTTTTCATGGGCTACGTCCGGAGTATTCGTATAAATTTTAGTTAAATAAAAAATTTATAATAACATTTGAATATACTATTACATTGTAAAAAAAATTGTTTGAATTTATTAATTGTCTTGTGTCTAAAATATTTCACATAATTTAACTCACAATTTGTCATTTGTTATATAATGAAATCATATATAGAATGATAAGTAAGATGAGTAAAAGTTAAATAAATCTAGTTATACTTTAAAACTAGGAATGGCCCGTCCTACGGGCGGGTTAGTATACGAAATAATTATCTAATATATCATTAATTATAGTGAACATTTTAAAATATGTATCTAACTTTAAGTTAAATTGATTTTAATTTTCATTGTGTATATTTCATTATTTTATTAAAGATAATGTTTATCTTAATATTGAAAAGAAGAGATTACAATTTCATGATTATACATTTTTATTTAATTCTTTGATAAGTTATTTTCCAATGAATGGATATCATACATACAACTGCCACGGTTGAAATATTTTAAATTACAATCTATATTATTATTTGTGAAGTGATTTTTTGTTTAAAAGTGAGTGGTTAATTTAATTGTTACCCTTAATGAAATTAATATATATAAGTTATGATATAATTCAAAAAAAATTATATTAATAATATTAGATTTATATGTTAGCTTAAATAATTGACTGTAACTTAATATAATAAATTTGGCAAAGATAAAAACATTTTAAAAAGATAATATATATATTGTGTTGTAATCAGGAGATAATATTATAACTACATGATAATTTATATATATATATATATTGTTTTTATATATAATTGATTTTTTGCTTCTGAAAATAATATTATTTTATTCAAAATTTACGTTATAAAAGTTATAATTAAATATTATTCAGTTAAAAACATTTATATAAAGATATTTTCTAAAATAATTTAATATGTGATTGTATTTAAATTTCAACACAATAATAAACATATATCTTTTGATGAATTTTTTTGTCAAATTTAAATAATTGGACGTTTTATTTAAACTTTTGAAAATATAATAATAACTTATCATATCATGTTGGTTTTTGAATTAATAAATACACACTAATAAGTATTCATAGAAATATTATGCCCGAAAGTACCTAAAATTACAATTATATACAGTAGAACCTTTATAAATTATACTCGATAAATTAATAAAGTTCACCGGTCTTAACTAGGGCTGGTAGAAAATTTGACACCAAACAATAAAATAATAAGATGATAACTTTTTTAAAAAAAATCTATGTATATATATGATCCTATTAAATTATAAATTAATAACTTATATGTATATATATTTTTATAAGTAAGAACTTATCATTAGATTAATGTGATGGATCTGGAGACTATCTCGTTTCAATAGAGATAAAGAAAGCGAAAGGACGTGATCGAAACCCCAACGAATAAAATTGTCACCCCAACCTCTGCATCTCAGTCTCTCTAATGCCGGACATCAAAGATTGCGATGAACCCTGGATTCTAAAACGGTACAAATGAAGGATCTTACTTTTAACGATAAAATTTTAAATCTTTGAAGATATTATTGAGGCCTAACAACACACAACGAAGGCCATATAAATCGCAAAATTAAGTTAATGAAAAGAATCATGTAGTGTTAGTGGATACGTGTCGCAATGTGATGCATTGAATTAGTGACATGGTACCTTAGAATGAGGATAAACCTACTTTATAATAATAGATACATTTATCTTATTAATTTAGGTTTTCTATAAAACAATTGTAAATTAAAAACCGATTTAAAACCATCTTGAAAAATTTCATAATATAAATCAAATTGTATAAAAAAAAGCAATCCAAACTAAAGATAATATTGTCCTCCAAACCAATTCATGAAAACATCCAGCATTAGATGCTAATTGTTAAACTCCAAGGTTTAGGCTCATCTGATTAAGTATATATGAACCGGTGACTCATAGTTTTACTGTGAGCAAAGACATGAATCTCTTTGAGGATTATTGGCATGGTCTTTATTCGGAGCTCATAAAGCCAGATGTTATAACAATTCAGGTTTACATTCGCAGTAGAGAAAGACACTTAATGACCTAACCCAACAAAGAGAAACAACTCATTGTATTACATTCGGGTTGATGCCTGAATGCGCTAATCCACACAATGATATTTTTCTCTTTGCTGGTTTTAGGACCCTTAGTTTCTTCTATACTGCTAATGTAATCTTGAATTCTCGTCGTTTCGCCTGGTTTATGATCTCAGCTTGCCTATGCTTTCTCAAAATACATGTGTGCCTTCTTACAATGAACCATTGAACCGTAGTGAAGACCCTTTGTGATCAAATACTATTGTAAATTGAAGATAACGCATAAGGAAGAGCAAATTGACTCTCGTATTACCAAAATTATATCCGTTTGCTCTTGGTTAACAAAAAAAGTATAACACAGAATATGAGTTTTTCATACACAACAACGCAGCATTTGGTCTAAACACTACTTCAGTGTCTACTACTACTTTCGTTTCTCCTTTATTGTCTCCATCTGCGGCTCACATTTCAATTAAAAAAAAAAGAGATGGACACACGAACCGAGTTTGGAAGGTTGTATGTGTTTTCAATCATCTACTCCATTCGTAGTCTCCTCCATACTTAGGGGATGGCACATTGTTAAGATGGTTAGAGTCTTCTGGTTTTATGGAGCTTGCAAACGCTTGCCAGCTTATAAGGTGCGGCAAGATGAACTGCAACACAATGTATAAAAGTTAAAATAAAGGCAAAGCGCTTTTTCACAAAGCAGAGAGGGAGGGCTTACGTTGAAAGTAGAGATAAGAACAGCAAACTCTGCTTTCGTGATTGGTATGTATACACTCTCATCTACATTTGAAAGCTTGTTCTGAACACATGCATGCAAAAACACAATAGTGGATTTCAAAAGATATTTTTAGTCTATGAAAAAAAAACGAAAGAAAGATTCACTTACTCAGCCAGAACCATCTGGAAGAGGTTCAACTTTCCTCACTTTACCTTCATCGCTACTACAACAACCACCACACAACATTTCACGAATCAGAACTAAACGAACAACAAAATTTGTTTAATCAACTAAACCTCACAAGGGTCCTAATCATACCCTTTTCCCTTGTTACGATCATGTAAGAATTCACATGATTCCTTTGGCCCAAGGCCAACTAAATTACCGATATCTGTAACCGACAATGAGAACACCTGCATCAATTAAAATCAAAACATGAACTCACCACAATCATACTTTCACTAAAATCAAGTTTATGATCATTATCAAAACGTGAACAGTAATGTTCTAAACCACAGTCATAACTAAAAGGCATGATCATCATCACAACTCCATAAACTACTAAGTAAAAGATAACACAGACTTGTTTTCTGCTCCAATCATACTGACGAACACCAGCTGCAGGAGAAAACTGGAGCAGCAAAAACCCTTCTTTTAAAAGCTTGAATGCACCAGACTGAACATAAATACAACGGAGATCAATCTAAGATCAAGGAAGAGATGAATCAACAGAGCTTAATTAAGAGATATATACTTCTAAAGCCACAAACTCTGGGGCTCGAGGCTCTATCGTAAGAGCAGCTTTCCCTTTGTAAATCGAATGACCCACATAAAACCGTGGCAAAGATCCTTCCCCTAATCCAAACAAACATACATAAACCACAAGTATTAGCTCTATGCTATCGAAAATTATGAGCTTTTAAGCTTCTATTTTTTAGAATTCAAACAAAAAGGAAAGAGCTTTTTAAGTGGGTCTGCCATTTTGTGGAGATAACTTAAACGAGCAAACATTTATGGGAAACAATAGAATGTATCAATGAATATGAACAGTTTGGGTCTTGATGGATCTTGTGAACTGATAAAGACACGATTCTAGACTCCTGCGAACAACATGACCAAATGAAGGTGTGAGTTTTAAAGAAGAAATTAATACAGATGATAGAGATTTATAAGGTTGTAGAGGGAATCTATACGTGACCGGATTTAAGAAACAGAGATGTAGAAAGGCCAAGACTCAAAGGTTTCCAAGACAATGTGGGACTTCGCCGGTGCTGCAGTGCTCGAATTTCCCGGTGAAGTGGCGCTGGTGGCTGTTATTACCATTGCAATCACCATCGGAATTCAAGAATTCAAGCCCTCGCTTCTATGGACGACGACGATCACGTCAAATTTCACGGCGAAGAGTGGAGGCCACGGTGGCCACTGCATGATCTGTTTCATTTTCACCACCATGGCTTAGACCTAAGAGGCTAAGATCGAAGAACAAAGTGTTAATTTCTTTGAAGATAAGGTTTTTGCGTTAGAGAGAATCAGGAGATTTGCGAAGGAGAAGAAGAATCGGATGGCGGATTTGGTGGACGTGGTTTTGATCCAGACGCAAAGTTTTAAACTTTGAAGACAGGGAAAAAGAGGATATGAGAGTATAGAGAAGATATATGTGTTTGTTTTCTCTTTAGAGTCAACTCTTGTGAAGAGAAGGAGGACAATAAAAAATGCTCAGAAAAATATAATAAAGCTGAATTTTGAACCTGGATATTTAGAACTGAAGTACAGGTGATGAAATTGAATCAAACTGACGAAACTATCTTATTGTTAGTGACTCTATGGGTTGGATCATTATATAACTTATGGGAGTTGAGAAAACTATAAACGTTTGAGGAAAAATATGAGAAGACGATTTAAATAGACATGAGTTTTTTCAGAAACATGATTAGTGACATTGCAGAATATTGATCCTTGATTGGTTGATGTAATAATCCTACGTGGACACTATTAGAAGATTTTATATTTAGATTTTAGTATTACAGATATAGATATATGTTGTTGAGATTGCACTAATTGTGTATTTGTTATGAGTTGTGACATGGCAAAACCATAAACCAGTATCATCTACAACATAATCAAATATTGAATATGATTTACAAGTCAACCACAATTATTGATCTTCTCTTTTTAAATATTTTAATAATTTAAAATTTTAAAGAACCAAAAATTAAGAAAACTGTGATTACATTTTTATACAAAATGGCGGCCAGTGAACAACGTGACCCTCCAAGCATTACAAATAAATCGGTTTTCTGCCGCTGGTTTGCTGACGCAGCTCATTAGTATTTTTGGAATATTAATGAATGAAGTTGCTCTAGTTTTATTACAATTTGCTTTTAAATGTTAAAATAAAAAATAAAGTGAGTTAAGCTAGGAAAAAGGTTTGAAGTTTGAACAAATATGTTTTTTTTTTTTAACGTCTGATTAATTATGCTATTACAACGATGAGAATATTACATAGACGATTTTACAGCCAACAATTCTACCATCTTGTGAGAATACACGCCTGATTGCATCACTCCGAGCCGTCCTATGATATCCATGTTCGATGGTACGTCATGCACCAAGCTGAAGATCTCTTGTAACTTACTTCTCCATAATCTGCATAATTTGGTGTTTTCTGAACAAATATGTTTTATAATTGTATATATTTCTTCAAAAACTACATGTATGCAAACAGAAATACATAATCTCCTGTGTACCGAAAGAGGTAGGTGCATGCAATGTACGATTAAGAGTGTGTAAATTGATAAACGTATAGTGTTTGATTGTGGAGTTGGGTCTGAACTCTGAACACAGTTAAATGTGACAATTGAAACCTAGACTTGAGTACCATAAACCAATATCATCTACAACATAATTAACTATTGAATATGGTTTGGAAGTTAGAACGATAATGAGTCAGACAATTTGTCTCTTCATTTATGCGTTGAGACACAAGTCAACCACAATAATTCAAGACATGAGTACAGTTTGGCATGTGAAACCTTTTATGTACTGTGAGTCTCTGACTCCTGTCTCTTTGACTACCCACTACTTCAGATTTTCTCTTTCGTATACTACTGTAATGTATAGTTAAAAAAAAAAAAAGATATCGAGAAGCTTCAACTGGACCCGCTTTAACTGGTAATTTTTATTCCCATAAAGAAACAGACAAAGAGGTCATACAGCTGGAAAATAAAAGTAGAAGAGCAAACAGAAGTGGTGATGACTGCATCTTACAGAGAAATGCCAATGCTTACTTGGTGTTCTGATTCTTTAGCTGTCCAAACCCAAAGACTCTTTACGTGTTTCAGTGACCAGTAAGACTTATGATCAACGGAATCTGCAAGGTCTCTCTTCTTTTCTCCTATACAAGCAAAAAAAAAGGAAGGATAAAATGTAAATGGTTTTGATTGGGTTTTGTCACTTGTGTTATTATTATGTGAAGAAATTTTCTTTTGACCAGCTAAACTTTAAACCTTAAACATCCGAGCATCTCTATCGAAAGGCTTATAATACAGATCCAAGGGCTAGAAGGAGCAGAAAACTAACCGTTAGTTCACTGAAATCTCACGACCACCACAGAGATATCATCAGAGCTTTTTCTTGCAACAGCCTCTTCTGCAAGGTGCTTTGCTGCAGACTTTGCATCTTTTATTCGCTTAACCGAGTCAACCGCTTCTTGGTTCGACATGACCTATAATTTTTTTGAATAATCATCCAACCATACTAGTGACTTGTTGAAAGTAATATTATGACATAACAAAAACCTTCCAAAGTCCATCACTCGCTAAGATAAGAAACTCTGCATCACCATCAATGATCTCCACAGTAACGTATGGTTCTGAACTCAAATGCATCTTCAAACTCTTATCACCAAAGGCCCTTGTCACAGCTAATTGACCATCAACTCGAGGAACATCCCCTGAATGTTCTCAACACAAAAAAAAAAACTCAACCATATGCAACAACAGCAAGATCAGAATATGTGAACTGAGTTAGATACCAGGAAAGCTTGAAACGAATCCGCCTCTGTTCTCTACTTCATCCTTCTCCATGTTAGCCTCATGATCAACAGAGAGTGGCTTGGTAACACCATTTTTGCAGATAACAGCTCGAGAGTCTCCAACATTAGCAACCACCAACTTCTGACAGTTGATTAATATAGCAGTCACAGCAGTGGAACCTCCTTTCCCCAAATCAGTATCCTTGTCTAGAATCTTAGTGTCTGTTATGTAATAAGCTTTCTTGATTGCTTTCTCCGGTTCTTGCCAGAAATTTGGCTGCATGCATGCAAGCTTATTATATAAAGTCCATATTCTCAAGATTTACATGTAGGTTATAGAGATATTAACTTACCTCTTTCAAGATGTTGTCAAACAAATGGGAGCACAAGTAGTCAGGAATCTCATGGCTGAGATGGCCATCGAAGATAGCAAAGAGACCAAGCTCATTGTCATCAACTTCTTTAAACTTGGCAACCACGTAATCCTCCATCTTGTGGAGAGCTTTCCCTTTCAACAAGTGGAAACCATGTGTGATCTGCTTTGACATCTTGCTCTTGCCTTTCCCTGAATCTGCTGAAGAAGACGCACCAAGCCCAACTTTCTCCTATACCAAATATAATAACAGAGGCCAAGTTTCTTATTAGAAAAGACAAGGTGTTGAAACCCTAAGTATATAGCATCGTATCGGGATCAAGAACCTTAAGCTTCTCTTAGAATCAGACAACCCTAAGTACTTTATAATAGCTCATCGATTCGCAAGCGATATTTTTCAAGTAACGTGGGAAAGAAGAAAGAACCAAGAGTGTTGAAACCCTAATTATACCAAGAACCGTAAGCTCATCTCAGATTCCAAAGCTTGTCTAGATCTAACGGATAAATGGAATCCTCGACCGATCTGCTATCTAATCAAATTATAATGGCTAGGTTATCAGAATCTTGAACCATAGTCTTTTTTTTTTTGAAGAAACGTGGGAAACAAGAAAGAATCGATACCTTGACGGATTCCTTCATCTTGTGGAGAACTTCCTTACCGGTCATGGCTCGAAGATGAGAACAAGATTATAAATTTTAAAATGTTGATGTAATAGAGAATATGCGTAAATGCATATGAAGTTATCTTGTTTCGAGGGACTGAGAGAGTGTCGGGGAAGATGACACGAACGTCATAAGTTGCATGCATGTCAGCTTTTACCGCCGCTTTGTTTGCGGCTTATGACTGACGTCTTCGCGCGCCACCAGACTTTTTTTAACCTAAACCTGTAATTATAATAAACGCCCGAAAAATGATTCTAAGTGATTCTATTGCATGACTCTCTTTACATGGGCCGTTAAATGGGCTCTATGAGACTTTCTTAATGTTTTTAACTCAGGCTGGGTTTATTCTTGTCTATATATGGGTCAGTTCTTTGCTAATGGTGTCAAAACAAGACGAAAAAAAAAGAGAGTATGAAAGGAAAAATCAAAATGAGAAGTTACCGAAAAATTAAAGGAAACTGCCCAGTGTTCTCTAGACCACTTGTTGCACGAGAATGCTACAGTAAAACTAAAGGGAAGAAGAAGAGGTTTGTGGTATTTATTAAGCAATCCCCAGAAATGCTTCGAGGCTTACATTTCTACAGCCCATGATACTAGGTTTCTTGCAAGTGATTTCATATGTCAGTGTCATAAGAAACATTTATCATGTAACTTTGGCTGCCGTTAAAGAGCAGCCATACTAGACCCTTGTATAAGATTAATCAAATCACGTTGTTCTTGAAGACAGTTTTACAGCTCTCTCATCTTCTTTATATTTTGCTTAATTAAGCTCAATGAACTATCTTTTTTTTGGTGTAACTCAATGAACTATCTTTCTCTTCAATAGATATACAATCTTTCTTAGTTCACAAATGGTTTTACTATTCGTCCTCTTCTTTGTCGAATCATCAGGTAATTTTGGACCTATCATGAACTTTAAAAGGAAAATAATTTGGCTATTTG